CACTGAGGACCTATCCACGTCATCATTTACCCAGAATGCTTTGTGTGTAAATAAAATGGCTCCGTCCGTGTTAAAATATATTTTTAAAAATTCACAAAACTAAACAGCCTACAGTATTTTTACAGTCTTTATGTTACAGTTAAAATAAATGTTTATCAAATAAAGTCTAATGTTACAACTAATCAGGATCCCTTTAAAGGGATAATTCAACCATTCTGAAGTAAAGAAAGGCAGAGGTTCACTCGTCTGTGAAAAAAACCTGTGTCTAAAAATTAAAACTTATTTCAGAGCAAAGTCTCTCGTTGTAGTAAACTATGGTCCAGTATGAGGGCCAAAATTAAGACTATTGGGCAACTAGCAGTTGCTACAGCCTTGTAGCAGGAGGCTACATCTATTCCTAACCAGCTATTGATCTGATTACTGATAGGTGTCACCGCTAACTGAGGCTAATGAGGAGGAGACTATTCATTTGTGTTAGCATCACAGAGGCTAGCCACTAGCATGGATAAGAGCATGGCTAAGAGGAAAAGTCCTCTGAGGTCAGACTAATCAAACATGTCCTTTATACTGAAAAAAAACAAAGGACCATCCAGCCTGGTATCAGTGCACGTTTCAAATGTTTGCCTCTCTGATGGTATGGGGGTGCATTAGTACTAGCATGCGAAGCTTACACATCTGGAGGGACACCATCAATGACAGAGACACAACCATCGTTTCCTCCAGCTGACATTAAATCACATGAAACATTTTGTGCTTCGGATCAGTTAGGAGTACCAAAACTATTTCTATTTGTTAAACGTCTGATACTTTGTACAAAAACTGCATTTTAAAAACCGTAGTTTAGATTATTTATGTTCCACTCTGAATAAAACAGGTTTAAAAGATTTGCAAATCATTTGATTCTGATTTATTTACATTTTATCTTGTTCAGAGTTGAGTTTTTCCTAAATCTCTCCTGACCACATCTATCTAAACTGTATACATTAAGATATGATAATATGTAAGGTTTATCTTTTTTTAAAGCACTTTCTTAATTAAGAAACTGGCCATCAGACAAACACCGTACAAACTTGGTCCTGTGTATTACTTGCAGACCCCCTCAGTCCTGATGGACCCCTCACCTTTATCACACATCTCATGTTTCAACGCATGGAGAGCCTCTCTGTTCCTGTTCCTCTTCACATCCAGGTCCACAATCTGAAAAACAAACAAACAAACAATTAAATAAATAAATAAATTGTTCAAAAATGTTCATTTTATCCACAGTTATTGTCTGGGTCACTTGTCCTGTCAGACCCTCACCTGGGTTTTTTTTTTTTTATTAATATGGCTTACTTTAACAAGCACCAGGAATGGATGTGATCACTTAACGTAAGATTTAAATGAATTCTGTGCTATTTTTCACAATACGGGGCTGACACAGACAGATGAAGATTATAAGCTGGATTAGAAAGTTAAAAACAGAAATCTAGACAGGTTTTTAACGTGTATGGTTTGTTTTTGTTGTAAGACGACCACCAGAGTAAAGCTTGGTGTGTCCCACACAACACGCTCCCGTCGTTAGTTTGGATCTCGGTCCGAACCCTCCGGTACCGGTCTGGTCAGGACTCAGTAAGATCGTCCTCCTCGTGATGTCCTGTTTTTACCTGTTGTTTGGTGCTGAGAACATCCTCAGCCGCCTCTTCCACTGCTGTCAAAAACTCCAGAGCTCGTGTGCAGTCGGCGTCCATGTTGGCGGTGTCCTTCCGAAAATAGGTCCGTGCGGAAACAACGAACAGAGAGGGAAGGGTCCGAGAGAGAGAGAGAGAGAGAGAGAGAGAGAGAGAGAGAGAGAGAGAGAGCTCTGAACCATCAACCATAAAGTGCCCACATCACTACAGACGCAGTGAAAATGGCATTTTTGAATAATTTATTAAAACATTCTGACAGGTCAAAAAGAGTTATTTTCTTCACATCTGATGAAAAGACAAAATATAATATGTATTTTTTTTTTAGGTGTAAGCAGAATGTAGCATCTGTCTGGACAAAACCTCCTGACTTTATTACAGTAAGACTTTTATTAATCCACAGTCCTTTCAATCATTGAAAGCGGGAACCAAAAAACCTGTTCACATCTGTAATTTCTTCTGGGCTTTATGAACAGCACCCATCTATCCATCCATGCATCCATGTATCCATTACTTATGTCTTCCTCCTTTCAGTGTCACTGGTACTCATATCCAGCAGTCACTGTGTGGAGGGCATGGCACCACTCCTCATATCAGTCAGAACAGTGATCTTTAGTCAGTACAGTGGTATTTAGTCTGTACAGTGGTATTTAGTCAGTACAGTGGTATTTAGTCTGTACAGTGGTATTTAGTCTGTACAGTGGTATTTAGTCAGTACAGTGGTATTTAGTCTGTACAGTGGTATTTAGTCAGTACAGTGGTATTTAGTCTGTACAGTGGTATTTAGTCAGTGCAGTGGTATTTAGTCTGTACAGTGGTATTTAGTCAGTACAGTGGTATTTAGTCTGTACAGTGGTATTTAGTCAGTGCAGTGGTATTTAGTCAGTACAGTGGTATTTAGTCAGTACAGTGGTATTTAGTCAGTGCAGTGGTATTTAGTCAGTGCAGTGGTATTTAATCAGTACAGTGGTATTTAGTCAGTGCAGTGGTATTTAGTCAGTAGAGTGGTATTTAGTCTGTACAGTGGTATTTAGTCTGTACAGTGGTATTTAGTCAGTACAGTGGTATTTAGTCAGTACAGTGGTATTTAGTCAGTAGAGTGGTATTTAGTCAGTGCAGTGGTATTTAATCAGTACAGTGGTATTTAGTCAGTAGAGTGGTATTTAGTCTGTACAGTGGTATTTAGTCTGTACAGTGGTATTTAGTCAGTGCAGTGGTATTTAGTCAGTGCAGTGGTATTTAGTCAGTGCAGTGGTATTTAGTCAGTGCAGTGGTATTTAGTCAGTGCAGTGT